CAGCAAATCAGCATATTAGAACAATTTCTGAAGGATCATATGACACTGAAGACTGGAGTAATGACTGCTGAAATTTCAGCTTTGCATCACAGGAATAAATTCATTAAATTAACTTTTGTGAACATAAATGTCTTTCAAAACCATTTAAAAATCTTACATAACCCAAACCTTTGAACAGTAGTATACACACATTGTTATCATTTAAGATGAAGTGCCTCGACATGTCATGTCAACTATCTGAGAAAAAAAAAACTTAAAAAAAACTAAACATTTATTTATATTAGAACTCATGGCCACGCCCATCCGATCTGACGGAGATGCAGCTTCCAGTGTATCAGACCCCTGTCGTTTGCACACAGCAGCAAACTGACTTCAAATACAGAATACAACTATAAATTCAACCTTAACACTTTGGTGGAAGTACAACAGCTAAACGGAAACAGTAATGATTTTATTGATAAATTTCCCTTATATTGAAAATATAATATATTGTGTAGTGCATGTAAATACAATTTTTAAAAAAATGTTTAGGTGAAATCAGCATTAAAACAGTTAAATAAAACATCCCCAAAGAAAAAGATAATCAATGCACTAAACTGAAAATTCTTATTAAAGACAATGACACATTAAGGTTTTATACCTGTAACTAAACTTAAAGAATGTAAGTGAGTTGTGTTGGATTTAGTGTCAAATGTATCAGGTTGACGAGAATGAAAAACTTCATACTGGTATGATGACCAACACAGATGGAACATAATGAAAAAGTTATCTGTCAGTCATACTTTTGTGACCCATAGTCTAATTTACCAGGATGAATTATCCATTGGTCAAAGCGTAAGTTGGTGCCTATGAGAGTTCATCTTCCCTAAACAGAAAACAAACAAATTGTGGAAGAAGCATAGAAATAAGCATTACACACAAGCGCAACTGTTATAATTCCTCTCAGGAAATAATACAATTCCCACGGTCCTAGATGTGTTTTCTGGGCCTCAAAAATTCATGGGAAAAGTGATGGAAATTTCTATAATAATAATAATAATTTATGCTCACTTTTATCTGGTAGAAACAACTTTGTATTTGTAACTTTGAATGGAAAGTTCATGGGAAAATCATGGAAATTCACTGGTCAGAAACTGTGAACTTGAATCCTGAATATATCACTTTAGAGAAAAATTGAGTAATTTTTCATGTGAAACTTAAACTTGACTTGGCTTGATAACAGTTTAAGGCACCATAAAGCACACTCCTAATGCAAAGGCAGTGAAATGTATGCCTTATTTTGGCCAAATTCTAAGGCAGCTTTACATTTAGAGAATGCAGTCCCCAAAATGCATTGCAGTGGAAAATCAAAAAAAAAATTTTCATTTAAATTAAAAATGGGATATTTTAGCCAATGTTTGTTATATATTTTATGCTCATCAAATTGTTTATTAGAAAACTATTGGTTTTGAAACAGTTTTGAATAAGGCACAAAGAGAGGCCATAGATTGGAAGAAAATGGAATGCATTGACGTTCCATTTACAGAATTTTCCTTTTCCCATACGTAGTGACACACAAATCTTGAAACTTTTCTTCTATTTCTAGCACATACTTAGCATTTAACTACTTATTTACAGCATGTACATCCAGGCACCAAATGAAAACAACTGATGTTTGATAGTCTTTATGTCAGTCTCTGCTTTCTCTACATTCTGGCCGTTCACCATCCACCGTTATGAGAGCAGCAGGTTTCGCTCTCCTGACAGCTCATCCGGTGCCATTACAAGTGGGTGTCTTCTTCATCAGGTATGTCTTCTTTCAGCAGGTTGTCCATGGGGACGATCCAGCTGTCGTTGAACTCCCCGTTCAATGCCAGTTTCTTCTCTTGCATCTCCGGCTGTACCTCCATCACCTCCAGCGTGGGATTGTCATGATAACCATTCTCCACTGTCTGCAGCTCTTCCGTCAGGTGTTGCGGCTGAGGTAAAAGTGCATGTTGGGATGTTAAACAGCATAACACTTTGACTTGAATCATTCAGAACATTCATATACAAGTTTATTGAAAGTAGGGCCCGAATCAAGCAATGCGAGTACATCTGATTCATCTTTGTGTTTGGAATTGAGTATTACCTGGTTCTTCCTGTAGGATCTGCGATGATAAGTGCAGTACGCCGCAAAGCAGCACAGAATGAGCACCAAAGCGCCACAAGAAGCCAAGATGGCGATCAACATGTCTGGTATTGTGTCCTTGCTCACATCTTCTTTCTGCAAAGTATTATTGTCTGTATATCCACTGACCTGTTCTGGAGGTTTGTAGTTTTCTGGCTGTATCTTTTGATCAGCTGTAAATGGAAAATTAAGCGAATTATTATACATTTTATTAAATATTTTCTTGTTGTTGTATTGATAACCGAACACAATATGGCAAGCACTGAATCCAGTGGTTCCTCCTTATGAGTGTTTAATATGTTCGGAAGCCGTAGCATTTCCCTCACCATCTATTGTAACTTTTGCAATTAAACGTTTGTCATTAATTTCCACGATCACCGTGCAATTTCCTTTCATCTTCTGACCCAGCATCTTACAGGCTTCACGCACGGCGTTCCCCTGATCAAACAAAACAAATATTAAAATGGTAGCACTTCATTTTTGGCTTCATGTTTTGATCATTTTTAAGGAGAATCTAGGTTTTGTGAAGTCGGTCACTTTGCATACTGTTGTTGGCCAATACATGTTTTCTGGCTCCATTTAATAGATTGTTCTGAATTGTGAGATAAAAAGTATACACTGAGAATTCTGACTTGTTCTCATCTTGCAGTTCTAACTTTTTTCCTGTGAATTCTGAATTCACTCACAATTCTTCTTTTTTTCACGGAATAAAAAAAAAGCTAATTGCAACTTTTCATCTTGCAATTGTGAGTTTGTCTTGCATTTCTGAGAAAAAAAGTTGTAAGATGTTATCTTGCATTTCTGGGAAGAAATAAGATATAAACTCAAAATTTTGGCCGGAAAAAAGTATGAATTTTGAGGTTATTCACAATTACCTATTTTATTTGTTATTGTGTGGTGGAAACAGGCTTCCTTAGTTTTGTGATGATTTTACTATTATTTAACAATGTCTTTAAACATTCAGAGTTTATAGAGGTTCTTGATATTGATATCTTGATATCGTCCACCTGATGAAAACATGCACTTTTTTAAAGGGATGATACAGTATTTCCTGACATCTCAGTGGAAAATGAATGGAAGGGGACCTTTGGGGATCAGTGACTGAAATCTTTGTTTTTTTTTTATTGATAGATGTTTTTGTCATTCATGTACTCACCATACTGCTGCTGCTTAGATCAAAGGAATTCTGCAGAAGAGAAAATCAACATGATCAGCAGGAAGTATATAAGTATATATCAACAATATATAAGAAAAAGACATAAATGTTAATGTTTTACATGATTGAATACAGGCTGAGAGGTGCCAGTCCCAGTATTTTCCTTATGTGTACGCGGGTCCAGAGGCAGGGCTGTTGTGACCAGAGCGATGGTTGTTTGTATTTCCATTGTCTGAAGACTCTTAGAAATAGTAGTTGTAAAATCAGGTGCTGCTGTGGTGAGTAATTTAGCTGAAAAGTGACATGAAAAGTAAATGCTTTTTAGTAGTTCAAACTAAAATTAGATTCTGTCTTCCTTAACTGGCCCTCATGTCATTCTTTACATGCTTTTATTGCATCCGTGAAACACAAAATAATATATTTTGGAGGCTGTTCACAATGTTCTTTGCCATACAATAAAAGGGTGTGAAGCTAAAAACATAAAAGTAGCATTAAAGAGGCCAACATGAAAATAATATATGTGTAAATTGAAATTTAGGATATTCACTTAAGTCTTGCCCTCAAATCACAATTGCATATTATAAACATTATGTTGATTAGATTTCAGTGATGCCAAACTGCATTTTGTTTTGTAACTGATCAAGATTTCAGAGCTAAGGTATAGGGCAACATTTGGTAATGACACACATATTGGTCTTTACATTTGTATTTATTGCATTCAGGCTATACATTTTTTCAGTTCAGCATGCAGTCTTGGCTTCTGAGCGGGAGATCTTTTCTTCCATATTGTGACATATCTGAGAGACAGATTATGAAAAAAGAATATATATATATTGCGCTTGAATATTTAAATTGGCGAGGTGTATTTGTTCGTTCAAGGGCAAGGAGACGCGAAAGAGAACTCAATTCGGTGTTTGTGTGGCTGAAACGCGGCTCTCTGTGTGCACACCGAACACAGCCCATGAGTACCTTTTTGCGATCTTGTGCTTGAATGCTTTAAAATCTCTTTAATGTTTAAATTGGCAAGGCTTAAAAACACATGCAAAACCCCCCCCCCCCCCCCCCCCCCCCCCCCCCCCCC